AATTTTGTTTTTTATGTTTTATAGTTTGTTTGTGCTTTGAGGTTTCTTTAGCAGTTGGATTTGTTTTACGGGGTAGGGTTTCTAGGCCTATGCCCAACCTTCCCTCTTTTTCCGGTCTAATGACCGGCAAGTAACTAATGGACTGGTTTATTCCTGCTTAAACTTGAACTCAGAACTCATAGGTTGAAGCGCCAGAGATCCATGCACCAGACTACTGAGTTTCAATAAGCACTTCTTGTGTAATTATTATAGTTTCATTTTGAAGCTTATTGCTTCCTACTAGTAAGTAGTTAGTTGTTTCCACTTCTGAGGTGATACGATAATGCAATATATCTTTTAAAAAATATAGTTTGCATAGTGATATGGATATCACTAATTCTCTAATTACACTTCGCAAAAGTGAGCACGTGTGAATTGTTTACTTTTGGTTTCAACATATGAGACTATGCAAGGTCACCGTGGTTCGAGCGACTGGTGTGATTCACATGGGGTGATGATTGAACATGAAAAGAAAACTTGGTCTTCGGCAGTATTCAAACCAGCAGTATATGGGTTACAAGATTCACATACTGACAGATAACACCTCTGATTGGAGTGAAATTAAAACCTGATATGTAGCCTAGTCCCGCAGCTCAGTTGGTTAAAGTGTCAGATTGGTAACTTGGGGACTCATGTTTTGAACCTTGCCACGACCAAGTTATCATTCTCTATCCAGGTATCAATCACTGTAGTTTATCTGTTGGAAACCATGCGATTATTACTGCAAGCTGTGGTCTCTTACACAATGAATCGATGAACTAACCGGTGGTACTACTGAACGTGTTTAAACTTCAGAATGGTAATGATGCAAATTACACAATGTTTAATTTGCTTACTACAATGACTCTTAAAGTGAATAATCTTGCATGTATTTCAACATCTCATAAACACAATGTCGCTAAATCGATTAATCGTTCGATTTGTTCCAGCCAACCTTTGTATTATAAGATACAAACGATGACTGCCGTCTATACTTGTATCTACTTTAAGTTATGAGTCTTCATAATTGGATTAAATACTCACAACGCACCAAATCCATCAATAAGACAAGTGATTATTTCATACACTGAAAATGAAATTGAGTTGGATAGTTAAATACGCTTAACGTGCTATCATATCGCTTGCATGAACAGACAGAATCGATTCTGATTCAATATGATGCTTTTGGGCTGAGCTATACAGACAGATAAAATCAACTCAGAAACTCTTACAAAAGCGAATCGGCTCAGGTTATCACAATTCACAGTTGCACACAAGGAACAAGGAAAAAGACTCTAGTGTAGGGAAAAAATTTAACTGTAGAGCAGAAAGTGTGTTTCTCGACTAAATACTAGTCAGCAGGCATCTATGTGCTGTTTGACTGAGTGTATCTGTAAAACTGGACGAAGACTATTCTTATCCTCCGGTTGCACACCCGCCGACTGCAGGTTGGAGGATGCGAGAGAATTCTGTGAGTTAAGCCATAGAATAGTAGTATAATTTAAATTCCCATTCTTTGCACATTATGATAAAATCAGGCAAGTATTTTACCTTTACCTATGGAGATTGGCTAATGCCTTTAGGTGAGCTAACATCAATTTCAAAACCATTGAGAACATGGAGGCATTGAACAACTTTGTCCCACCGTGGATCTCCTCAGCAGCGAACACACAGTCCCCGCAGAGACCAAACCAAGGACCTTCATGTCCAGGGGTGAGCACGTTACTTTTCAGTCAGTGGGTCTGAGTCCAACTGCACTGTACTGGGCTTCGGTTTACAATAATTCTGTGTATTTTTGATCATGCAGCGTCCATCTTTATATGTGCATAATCACATAATTTATCACAAATAAAGTGAAGCATATCACGAAAATTGACTTTATGCTATTTACTGAACTATTACGAAAATTCACTGTATCTTTTATAAGTATTGTACTGATCACAGTGAAAAGCTCATTCGTTCCTTGACTACTTCTACTCAAATCACGTAGATGCGCATAAGAAAATTACTCCGTAAAGTATTCTTTTCCTACTATGGTTTACCGGGTAAAACATGAAGACCAGAAGCGACGGATTTATATAATCACTTCGTAGTTTGGCTTCTAAAAACTTACATTCACCCTGCTCATCAGTTTGTACCAATATATCAAATGAAATGAAAAGGCATTTTAGTGGACCAAGAATATCATTTTCGATAACTTCCGTTACGGTACATATCGAGGAATTATGCCTCAACACTATTGAGATTTCGCTCATCAGTTTGCTGGTGATAATATTATACAGTTGATGAAGTGTTGGGTGAACATCAGTGACAAAATCAACTATTATTTGGATTCATTTAGAAATAATTCATTATCTAAACGACCACAGGGCTTATGTAACATTCTCTATGAGGTGACCCCCTACGGCGATCGCTTAATATCGCAAACTGACAAACGTAGGAAATGAGCACTGAATTTCGACCCAGTCTCTCAATGGCAACGTCCTGGCCGCAGAACCCGGAGGTCCTGGTGTCAGGGTTTTGGATGAGCACTTCTGAGGAGTCAAATACTAGTTCAAACAGCTGTTGACTGCTACTAAGTTTTGAATGTCTCGCCCACTGATATCAGTCCATGATTAACACCAACCAAAAACAGAATTAATATGACAGTCACAAAGGATAATACTGATATCTCTGAACTGCATTTTTCTACCTTTTAATTGATTTTCTGACTGTCAGCTTCAACAGTTTGGAGGAATTTAGGCTTCCAATCTGAGATTTGGGTGACAATGACAACCAGAGGTTGGAGACTACAAATTCTGCCTCACAACTGTTCACAGTTTCATAGATACATTCATTCCTTATCTTCATCCAGATCGTGAAAGCACATTTTTTCCACTTTGCTTCATCTCTTCTCTTCATTTGAATGCTACGACTTTTTATTACATTTTCCTCCATACGTTTTCATTCTGCCTCTTTGCATTTTGTTGTGGTTTCATGATGTTTGGCGAGTTTAACTGCAATGTAGCACTGCAAAATGTTGACTGATACTGACTGAAACTTTTATAAATAGTTGTGCATTCCTTCCATAGAACTACGGGCCTATTCTCGAAACTATTTGTTTTCGAAAAATCAAATGCAAAGTTCGCACTCCTTTGAAAACAGCTTGGAAACTCAAAAGATTCATGATTTTAAGTGAACAAAGAATATCCTCCAAAATAACTTCAGGTTCTACAAGCTGTTGAGGAATTCTGCATCAACACTATTGAGATTTCGCTCATCAGTTTGTTAATATTATCATATAGTTGACGAAGTCTTGTGTGAACGTTACAGGCAGGATCAATTTTTTACTGTGATTAAACTCACGAAAACACTTATTGCTTAAATGATTATACGGCTTGAGTAACATTCACTATACGGTCCTGGCTTAATACACTAATAAGCTGTTTATGAGAAGTGAATGGAATAAATGAAGATAACTTGGTGAACAATATCGTGATAGAATGTTTCTCATGTTGGGCGATAAAATAGGTTAAGAGAATGTGCTAAATTGTTCCAGATTATAGGTAATTAGAAAATCAGATTACCTTGGGTAGGATTTGAATGAATTTGTACGTCTTGTATCAGAACACAGTAGTTGTAGTGGCAATACTTGCTTTTTGAACACATAATTCACGTTGTTTGATTCCGATTGCCACTGCTTCTGAAGTCTGAAGTATTCGAAGCTGTGAATGTTTTGGTAAGTTGATGGGAACCCGGTACAAGGCGGGAAAAGATTCATTCATATCCACATTATGGTTCGTTTCAACCAAGTTTGCTTTTATGGAGTCGGTAATGGCCTTTACCACACATTTACTTGACCACGCTAAAAGATGTTCGTGAGGACAGAAAATTGAGTTCCTAGATCAGTGGTCGACGTAACTGGTTCCGCAGGAGCTGTCGAACTGATAAGCACAACAGGAAGTGGCCAGTTTAGGCAATTCATCATTCATTTTTGGTGTCACCACTGGGCTTTTTGGAAGACGAAATTTATAATTTACCAGCATTGATGGTTCTCTGAATTGATCAACGTAGTTTGCGAAATAATATGTCATTAAGCACGTTACCTCAACATTGAGACGTTTTTCCTCAGTTTATTGTGAATAGCCTACCCTAACTCTGTTGTGACTGAGTGGTGAGGTAGCGCGCGTGGGTATAAATGAATACAGAGACTCAATAGACACCTCAACCGAATGCCTTTACGACTGACCTCCCTCAGTACCTTCTGCTTCACTTAGCCGCGGAGAAATCAGAAGACAAAGAGGGCCTATGACTGCAAGAACAGCGACAACAACTTTTATTAGACAAATACATGATATATATGTATTTACAAAACTCGGAAAGTGAAGCCACAAAAGGGAACGATCAGATTTCTTGTATGAGCTCGAATTCCTCCAATCAGGTCGTTATGTCAGAGCATGCCTAAATCATGACCTGAGCATGATGTGATCACGACTTGAAAACTCCCCTATTGGCTACCTTCTTGCCGCTACGCAACAAATTCATATTACCTATTAGTAAGACATGCATGTGTTAGGGAATGGTAGCAGTAATCATCGTTCCTTCTATCCTACTCATTTGTCTTTGTTCTGTCAAAGAATTTCTACTGTTGTTGTTTCAATTTTGTTTGCTTTTCGATTTTCATTTGAAGTGTTTTTCGTCGTTTAGTCATAATCTCTTGTTCTTAACTGGATTAAAAAGAGGTGAACTCTTTTCTTTTTTCCTATCTACACTGACATTGTTTATAACATTCTCTTTGATGTTGACACCTTGAATAGAGTAAAACAAGTTATCTTGAGAGAAGGAACAAGAAAAGAAACTATAAGTGAAAAACTTGGGCACTGTGGTAGAATGTAATTCTATATTGAATTTGTTTATTTGATATATAGCGCACAGTGATACAGTATTATTTGCTTGTGCGCTATATATCAAATAAACAAATCTAATATGGAAAAGAAACTATTCTCTGACTTTAGATATAGGTTGTATTCCTCTAATTATTGTTCATTTTATTTTATGCACATTCAAAGGATTCTGTATGATGCAAAGAAAGTAGCTTTCGTGCTGGTCAATTTTGTGACTGTTGTTTATCTTGTGTTTTAGTGTTCAATCTAGTGAATGTTTATGCCCTTTTTTACGAATTGATGAATGAATACAATACTTGAATACACTTTCTGTGAGGGAATTTTAATGGAATAAATGTATATCGTTATGTTTATAAGATGAAGTGTAATTATTGTTCAGACATTTGAAATGATTTTATTAGTGTGTTCTATTCAAAACTATTCAGTTGGTCAAGTGTAGCACTTATATAACGTATGTACATTACTTTATAACTTCAAGTTTAGTAATAACAATATCCAATGGGAAGTTATGGAAACGCAATTGCGCACAAATGCGGAAGTTTGATACAGTTTATATGGAACTGAGGGCAGAGAATTCGGAGAAGAACACTATAGAATACCAAATTCACACTTACATTTGCATAAACCTCTAGTGTGTGTGAGATGGAATGCTTAACCTTGAAATTTTAGAGTTTGCTGATTGACTTCAAGTCATTATTGATATTGGCTGATGATTCAAGATGAAGTGAAAACTTGAACCACAGTGAGATTCGAACCAACTACCTAATGCAACAGTAAAATGTTCAAATACAGTTTAAACGATATTTAGGAATATTCTAGTGTAACATCATCCTGGTATTATAGCTATTAATGAGGATAGGGTTTGAAAGGTTATACTTTCATTTTGACTATTAGAAGTCCCTGCACAAAGAAGTATATATTACTGAGCGTAGTTTTTCGTTAGAAACAAATTTTTTACGATACACATGACTAAACGGTATGATCAAAATAACTACTTAGTGTTTATCTAATTATGTTCAGTACTCAACGATCAACGAAGTCTCTGCATGGATTAAGAAGGCTCAATTGCTTTCCACTATATTACGTCATCTGTTGCCCCATTGATATGTTTATTTGCCCACTAAGGGCTAAGTGTACTGCTCAGCATTCTGTTGTATCCTAGTCTGTAGCTGTAAAATATGGTCACTAGTAGTGGTGGATATGGGAAGTCATGTATTCGTTCATCGTTGCTCTCGTGGCGTGAACGATGTGCTATGGTACCACTACGTCCTTAATTCAGAAGTTAGGCTTAGCTTTTAAAACAGAAGAGGGATATCAGTTGAAGAGGTTGTAAACGTGGTTGACACACGTGTTACAAACGCCTAGTTACATTCCTCTTCATTGTTCAATATTAGCTGAAGAAAGTGTTGGCTAGTAAAATGCTAAAAACTTAGATTAAAAGGCAGAATCATCCAAGTCTCCAGCTTTTGGTCTGTGCCATATATGGAAAATTAGACTCCTAAGTTGGGCTCTACGTAACATTCTTAGTTAGTGAGCTGAGACTCTTAATTATATAGGGTTAGGTTATTTCCATTCTTATCGTGATATCACTATATCAAAACTCTGTCCAAAATCACTAATCCACTTTCTTTATCATACCTTATGATGATGACGTTCTGATGCTTTCTAAGCCTTTTGAGTGTCTTCTAATGTTCTCTATCCAGTGTACCTATTGACGTATTTTGATTCTTTTTATACTGATAACAGCACTCCACTTGAGTTGATTTTAAATTTTATAACCCTGCAATAGATGATCCAAGTAATCGACTGTTCGACTGGTTAGTTTGTTTGAGTGTTGCAAAGTTTAGTCTCAAGAGACAGAACTTCCACTTGTCGAGTTTAATACTTAGATGATTATGAAAGTACTTGTCTGAATTTGCCAGAAACTTGCATTAGGGTATTTAAGTGTCTAAACTCTTCAGCAGTAATATTTGTCACTTAGCAGACTTGGATGGGTCAGTTTGACTCACGTAAATCTCAATAAAAAGTTTCCTCTTTTCCACTACAACTCTTCATATTGTTATCAACTTCTTCCATCTTTTTCTTTATGCATTTCAGCTTGTGATTTACTACGTGCTGTCACAGAAAGAGCACTTATCAATTCAGAGGGTAAACAAAGTGAGGTAAGTTAAAATGCTGCTAAACAAATACTTCTCATCACTTGGTATACTAAATTTTTTTCCAAACATGTGGTCGTATATTTTCTTGTCAAGTCAATTTATACATAACCGAAGAATAGGAGCATAAATTGAATTACTAAGGTAATGCGCGATTGAAATTAAGCAAGATAACAAGGGTTGTATAGCAGTTAGGTCTCCTAGCTTAGTTGGTAGAGAACCGAGCCGATAAACCAGAAGGTTACTTGTATGAATCCTGCCACGACCCATGTTTTATTTCACATTCAGTCATCCCCAGTATCATTAATGTGAGCCTGCCAAACCGCGGCTGTCTCAGAAAGTTAGACTGATAGTATAAAAATAGAAGAATGATATACTTGATCTTAATCTCGATAAGAAAATAAAGTTTGTGAGGATAGATGTAGTTTAAGGAATAATTACTTTTCTGCACACAAAATTCACGATGCGTACTTGACTTTTTCTATCTAAAACCTTAAAACCTTTTTTACATTGATTTTGTGACCCTTTTCTGGGGTGGGAGAACATCAAAACTAGATTGAATGTGATGCTTCAATAATCACAGGTGGAAGACAGTCTTTTCCATCTATAGCTGAACGTATAGAGAAGGGTTACGAAATTATTTTCCAGACAGCTTTCATAACTTTATTTCGTAATAGTAGGAGATGCACTTCGAGATTTGTCGAAGCGACAGCTATACGTCGCCTTTGTGTCCACAAAAACAATTTATCCTTCCACTACATCTACCTTGTTCTCTTACCAAGATTATAACTCAGTTTCCTGCCTGGTTTACCTTGTCCATGAAAAGAAGGTGTTTCATAATACCGAAGATATTTCATCGAATGGGAAATATATAATAAGTTCAGTTATCATTTGTAGTGGTCTGGGAAATTTTTTGGCTCGCGAGGATGCTTTTCGAAGGTGACATGTAGCTTTTCGGCTGCATGATTCAAAGGGAAGGTATTTTGCTTCATAACAGTTTACGCTGCAGATAGAAATCATTTAAAGTACTACCGAAACTTTAGACTTCTATGAACTGCTGTTCCGTCTTACTTTGGTACTACTTAATAAAGCAGATCCATGACTCCACAAGGATTGAACCCGGGACTATTGGGTGTTGCCGTAAGCAGCTGACCATTCAGCCACTGAGTTGAAATCCAATGTTCCACTTTCGAACATTTTTCAATAAGCGATGTAGAGCATAGATATTATAGGTGGGGAGCCAATTAACTCCTGATCGGGTGTACCCCACGGGTCAAGAGTTTCTAGCAGAAGTTTGGGTAATCCATCAGAAGTAGGAAAAGTGGACGGCTACTTTAGAATTCATTTGCTAAACAGTAATACTGTCACCGGAAGATCATATGCTCCTTGGTTCTTTCCCTGATGGAGTTATGAGTGACCAAGACTGAATGCAAAGCTCGAATGAAACAGTTTTCCAGCGCTTCGAAGTTTTTCAATGGTTCTCCAACTCATTTCAGTTTGTGATGAAAACTGCCATGAAATATTTCATTATTATGCTAAACACCAATATCCTATGGTTCATCGGTTGAAGAAGATAACGTTCAACTAATGGATCACGGAATAGAACACCTCTCTATCTACCGAGTTTGGGCAGCCAGGTAGTACCATTAGCTGTCACACAATAGGTGGGACTCATTGACAACTTCATGAACGTGCACAAGGTGGCTGAGTGTATTTCGATTCGACTTCGAATGTTTTACTTTTAAAACGCTTAGAATTGATGCAGCCGATCTAATTTTTAATATTCTGTTGCCTAATACAAGCCGCTTCGTGTAGTAATAAAGTCTATGTATATTATCACATGTCTAAATCAATCGGAAAATGCATCAAAATAAATTTATCCTGATATCTGGATTTCAGTTCAACACAGTTACTCGAAACTCGTTCGTGGGATCAACTAAACTTGTCGCAACTTAAAAATATCAACAAAGTGGTTGAAAGAGAACGTAATAAGTATCTTACGATAACTTATAAATAAGCATACCAAAAAAGACGCAAAAAAATGCATCCTGAAAAAGAAGTAACTAACACTTCAAAATATCTAAGTTCATGTAAATATGGAGTCGTTTACTTAGTGTCTGTGTATCCATTCAGTCACTATGAGTGTGGGATCTGGCATTACTTCACAACAATCTATGTTGCTATGCTTTATATTATCACACCAGAGTCAATGACACATAGGTGAGAGGTAGAGAAAAAGAAAGAAACTCAAAAGTAGTAAAAAGTCCTGAAAAGCTACCCTGGGGGAATAAAACTTTGACAAAATTCACTTCAAAGATTGACATGAAGATATCTGAAAAATCGCGATCTGTTTTTAGCCATATTATCTTAATTGTCTAATCATAGGCTTCATGAGGAACTCAACAGTTAAAAATACAAAATACAATGAGACTATAGGTTTTTGACCATAGGTGTCTTCTTAGCATTGATTGCGCCTGGTGGGACCACGGCATGAGTAATATCTAGGTTAGTTGCAAATTACTAGCCAAGGAAGCAAAGCCGGTCAATATGGTTGTATCGACTGAGATGGCTTGAACATATACTGATCATACCAAGCCACCGTCTACCTCGATGTGCCATGCTTGGAGAAGTTAGATTAGGCTGTTTAAATGTCAAGGATGACCAAACCAAGACATGATATAACTGTATGTAGTCACTGGCTGTTGGTCATAGTTGTATATGGATGTATGGACTACCTGGTTGGGGTTCTCGATATGACAGAAATCATTGGTTGATGACTCTTGGTGAAATGACTATAAACCGGTCACAGTGGCACGACGGATTCACATTTTGATGTTCTCCAAAGCTTGAATGCTTTGGCTAACCTCAATTTTAAATTTTCTTTTTCCTCTAAGTCACCTTTACCTACTTTGATAACGGTCAAATGACTGATATCACTTGTAAATTGCATCAACTGGAACCAATGCACCCCTACGCGAGGTTCTACATTGATTTCGTCTGTCTGTCTCGATTTGAACCGAGAGGTCTACTTTTCTCCACATGGCTCATAGCAACGGTCAGAGACTTTAGCGACTAATGGCATGTCTTAGTCTGGCCACCCCTAAACGTCTTAAATCTCAACCTACTTCAGCGGATACTGGGTGATGGGGCAGGTAGTGACCAGGTATGTGTAACAAATGTGCAGTCATCCAGGTCAATAAAGGTGTAAAACCTCATGAACTGACTTTAAGGACTTTATTCTATCAAATCTGATACATATTAGAGACATGTGAGCTATATAAAACACAACACCCCCTCCCCGTAACAACAGATTAACTCTGTCGAACCAGATAAACTGCAAATTTGAATTTGAGATAACTGTTTAGACCATAAAATTTTTCTCAATCAATTTTCTAACCATGAGAAACAATAATCATTTGAAACCCATCCCAACTAATTTTAAATCTTAGAACATTTTATGCAAAAAATATCCATTCCTATCACTAACTTCGAGATAGTATCCTGGTAACTTTGTTGTACATACTAGTCATAATCATATCTTCCACAGAAGTAATTTAACAAATCTACATTTTCAGATCTCCGTTCTTGTTACGTATCCCATGTTTATTCTCATTTAACTAATAGTATGTGCATATGTTTGTTAACATCAAATGATTCGCCTGAGCCTTTTACTATAAAAATAATCGCAAGAAAACGTTTTACCGACCCTATATATATATATATATATATATATATATATATATATATATATATATATATATATATATATATAACATGTGATAAGTTGTGCAGATATTGTTTGATGAAGAAGCGACTTCTGAAAGACGGAAGAATGTCAGAAATGTTTGACATTTTCACTTTTCATTTCAATTTCGCAATGCGCCACTTTTGTTAGACAATTATTTTTTTCCATGTTCAAGCTATTGAAATCTATTTGATTTGGAGGATTGTAGGGATTTTATTCATTTCCAGATGGTATCTGTTAGTGACCGATATCATTTGGAGAACCATTGCATACTAGGAAGCACTGGACAGCTGCTTTATTCCCCAGCAGTGCACACCAGGGATCCAAACCAGGACCTCTAGGTTTCGTGGATCAGGATTAGACGGTCTATATTCTCCTATTTCCGTCTATCTGCAGTATAGACCGACCTTCATTCAGTGCTGTTGTTGAGTACTTGTCCTCAAGTTTGACTTCATTTGGCCCACCGGTTTCGATTTCTTATTAGAACTTCGAGAGATCTCATCTCGGAGCAAGTAACTAATGAGCAGTTGACAGTAATTCAGTTTGAAGGTTTTTGGATACTTAACGATAGCATTGTATGGAGGTCACGCTTTATCGTGAACTGACAGAAGTAGGGAAATATGAATCATTGTATTCTGACCTAGTGGCTCAATGGTAATGTGCTATCCTTAAAACTTGAAGACTCTGAGTTTGATTCCTGGCGAGTGGAGCTATGTTTGTGCTTTGCTTTGGGCTCCCATACTAACACAAACCAAGTGTCATTGCCTTCACGCTTTGAGTGGTCCTTCAACTAATGTCATTCCGTGGTGAATCCCACCGTGAAATGTATTCAGTCAGATTTTTTGCAGTGATGTTTAAAATGACAATAAGAAACGAAGTGCTGTAGAGTTAATAAAACCTATATGAGTTGTACCGTGACTGGAAACTGGAGCATACAGTGGTGTGGAATTGAAGTATCACCTAGGTATACTCAGCTCAATAGAAAGTGAAACTAATAGTTGAATAACGTAACATATTTAGAAAAGAGATGATTCTTTGGTCGTTTTAGACTAAATTTCCTATTTTTAAACACTGGTCTTCAGACTTCAAGAGTTTCATCCTCACTCAAAAGTCCTAATTTTCAATAGTCATTGATGAATCCAGCGACTCTTGTACTGGAAAACTGAAACATATATTAAATCTTTAGAAAAATAAAGCATATAAATGAACTGGTTAATTAAAACTGCTGACACTGCACAATCAATCTATGGGTATTCTAGTCATCATATCAAGTGATCGGGCTATTGTTTGAAAAGTCTATGTACTAGAATTCTATCCGAAATGACTAATCCACACATTATTTTACTAACATCCTTCAAATAAATATGATTTAGTCTAGTTCCCGTTGAAACTAGAGCTGTGGCTCATTGGTCTAACTACTCAGCTTTCAATCACCGGAGGGGAGTAGTCTGGTTTGCATGATAACCGCTCATACAATAAGTGTGGTACATTGCCTAATAATCAGAGGTGCACATAATTGCTGAGTGCATTTCAGTGCCGATCTGGTTCAAAAGAATAAGGCTAATAGTTTTGACTTATGAACTTATGTGCACTTTGTTCGAATCGCAGCAGGGATAAGATCACTCGCCGGGGTGCAGGTAGGTTCAGTTGATGAATCCCAAACAGGACGAAACGCGTGTCATGAATTCCACTGCCAGCCACCAAACAGATTATGGAAAGAAACGGTCATAGCACTGTGGCGAATCATGACATCAAATCTAAGGAAGGTTGATAAAAGTTTACAGTTGCCACAACTATATAAATAACTCAATGGAAGTTTCTTCAAAAAAAAATAACAAGAGTAGCGGTCGAAGTATTGAGTAACTAAGCCGTATATTACACAAGTCATACGACAGATTAGCTAATAAATAAAACATGTAAAAATCTGTGGTTTAAGCTTAGTTAGCTGAAAGCAGTTTAAATGAACAAAACATGAACCAGATAGACAAATTTGATGAAGGATGATGTAATCAAATAATAGTGAACAAGGGTTGATAAAGTAGACAGAGGTAGACTATAGCTACTATACGAACATGCGAATCAGATTTGAAACGTTTGATGTCAATCGCCTCAGCAAATTTGAGGCGAGTTGAGCTCGTTTGTTTGTTTATTATCTTGAAGGAATTGAAAGTGCCTGCTTAAAGCCGAGTGTTAGCAGATGTAGAGTGACTGCGTTTTTCAGAGTGTTACTTCCTCTCAGCCATGTGCTCTTCAGAACGTGTTCACTAAATCTAAGATAAGTCATTCTTTCCGTTCTTCTAGTGTATGTGCCTCGGCAACTGATATACAATTGATATACACGTTTGAAGACATGTGTATATTTATTTTTTAAGGCTATCAGCAGCCTAAGAGAGGCCTCGAAATAAAATAGGCTAATTTGATTCTACATACCTGGTTCTTTTTGCCTCGATAGAAAAATCTGGTGAAAACATCGTATGAAGTCAGTGAAGGTTGAACTGATGAGCCATTATGAAATCTTTAAAGCACTTTTTTGAAATTCTACTTAATACAATTATCTATTCGTAGATGATTTACAGATTGTACGGTCAACTATGAGATTTTTCACAGATGAGTATTTTTTTCAGATGTGTGACTGTACTTTCAACAGGGTCTGTGCGTCAGCCAAGATCACAAAGTGTGACCTCTGATACATGAATGTAATCAAATAACGAAATAAACTAATGAACAAGATGAATTAGTGACAATCACTTACTCTGATCTGTAGATTTCACTGACCACATCAAAGTGATCTCAACACCGTAAAGTCGTTCTTCTCGTTTCAGGCTGAACTCATCAGCAACATACTTGGACAAATTCGGCTCATGCAGCTATATTATTCTTAGGTGGCTGGCTTCCAACGAAAACCTTGTTAACTGCACAGTTGGTCAGTTGAAAAACTACTCAGCCATGAAGAATTTCAATGCAGACTGTTTAGTTTGTAAATAATTTGAGGATCTACTATCTTGTTTAAAGTATCCCAGTCCATCCAAATTAGTTAATCGGATTCAGGTGATCTGAACTAATTCCGCCCTGTAAGCTGAAATTGTCCGAGTAAATGACTGATGAGCTTGGATCCAAACAAGCGAAACAGCTGTCTGGTATTTATGTCACTTTTGTCTGGTTGACGAAATACTACAGATCAGCCTGAGTAGTGTTTAGTTAATTATATTGATCAGAAGCAGCGCACCGTTTAGCTAAAAATAAAAATTTGTTTACATAGCATAGCTACCGATGCGTGTTTGCACTGAAGTTAATCTGACGGATATAAAGATGGGAAGTTGATACTACCAACGCTTAATCAAAGTGTTTTGATGAATTCACACAAAAGTTCATCTATAAACCAAGAAGAATTTCACGACAGTAGATATCAATAAGTATCGATTAGTTTAAGTATAACTAATAATTACGTGTGTTTGTGTGTGTGAGTGATATGTCTTCTACGTTCTGTCACGAATTACTGAAGAACATACGCGACATAACCAGTCACAGTGGTAAGTTTGCCACAGTATAAAACCTGTTTTTTCTGATATTATAGCTTGTACTTCCCCTTAACTGGTTGGATTGAGCTGATCGGCTAATATTATCATATGGCGTTTGAAACGATTGGTTCTGAGTTCGAGCCTTTGTAATAACAGCATCGTCCACTGGGAGGCAGGTACGTCTAGCTGACAAGTCTCAGATAGGACGAAATATGCGTTCTGGATTCCACTGCTAGCCACTATCCATCATCAATAACTGTGATTTTTTCTGTTATTTCAAAGTTGTAGAATAGTCTATTGCACGAAGCGAAGCATCATTTTCCTCAATACACTGAAAATATCTATTGTGAAACATTGAACAAAGGGAAAGTCTTAATTGAACTCAGATAAGTATAAGTGAATAATTTTAACTACTAAAATAAAAAGCGGCTTATCAAAAACTTATTTCACACATTCTTATAATTGCGAAAGAATTGCCAGTTGAAGTAAATGAATCAATTACTGTGTCTTCTCTCATTCATTGTGCATGAAATCACTTGTTTTATTTCTGTGAACAGGTAATTCGATTGTCTGAATAAAGATGAATCAAGTTGTTGAATACAATTATTCGAACAATAAACTCATGACATTGTTTTGCGTTGTCTGACGTTAAGGAAACCGAATCGTGTGACTCAATGTGTGAGTGAACTGAAAATATGAGACGTCGGAATTCCAGCGTAGAAACGAATCGGCAAAGTTACGCGGTTCGAACAAGTACATCCACGCAGAACAAATAATGTAGTGGGCGTTGCTGATAACAATGGATATAAATAGTATATATCGAGAGGGTGGCAGGAATCATAGGGAATTACCGGTAATGGTTAAGGTTTCTGCCAAGAGCAACGCAGGGGACAACACAGGCGTATTAAATGGAATGCTGCTGATAAGAGTGTATGAAGAGCCGGTCAAGAGCAAATCAAGACAGGAACAGAGAGGAAACGAAGACATTTGCAAATGGCTGCGTTAGTGCACGGAGTACTATATGTAACCAGCACCATTCCAATTGTTCGTAGTTAATAACCTCTCGCCGAGTTGTTTTCTGCTTCCTCATTACTACGTGCCTTAATGTGCCGCTCTCGAGATTTACGGTCCACTACATAAGCCATCCCACTGACTCCTTCCTCTTAAATATCGTTTACTTGATTATTTCCTACTGGCTGTTTATACTTCCTTCCATGTATCTTCTTTTCTTCAGTTTAGTTGGTTGAAAGCTGGACCACAAGCACCATCACAGTTATGCTCTGGTGTTGTAACTTATCCATGGCCTGGAATAAATGGAGTGACAAATGTATCGGGTATTTATCAAATAGATAGAGGGCCATCAATGAAAGCAGATTGCAAAATTAACAAAAGATCAATGTCAAAAGAAAAATACATGAATTCTGGTTATACTAATGTGCATTCATATTCGAGAGATAATTTATGTGATAGACCTCCATTTATAGTAAGTTCTATGTGTTAGCAATAAAGTTTCTCACCCCATTGCTAGGTGAAATGTGTTCAAATCTCAGAGACAGGATTGATTTCTATAGGATTGTAGATACACTTCGAAGAGTGACAACAACCATGATACCTAGGGTGTTCACAACTGCTGGTCAATTTCTTCTTAACATCTGGCCAAAAATACACTGGTGTGTCACATTACTCTCAGATTAGTGGGTACATCGTAGACGATTGATAGAGTTTTGTCAGTACTCAGGACTAGACAACATGAAATTGTTTGTTTTCTAGTGACTAATTAGTTATTCTAATCTCATCCTGCAGGAGGTGGATTGTGACCCGAACAGCTAACTGGTAACATCACTCATTGTAACACTGGGTTTGCGTTTGAATTTTAGAGGAGATGCGCCTTGTTGATCAGTGCCAACATGCATAAAACCTAGGTCGAGGGCCTCCTGCCAATTTCCTCCATCTAGCTAACATCCATCAAAGTGTACCATGAAAGTGAGCCTTCTATCTTGGTAGCAATACTCTAAAATGATAGATGGGATTCAGTCAGTAGAAAGTATGCCCACTAAGTGAAGTAGCGTGACACTATGGTGTTAGACATTAGTAATTAATTGGTGGGATACGCTGTCTGATCTACGTTTCGTGCCCGTTGAAACTAACCAACAAGATATCTATGCAGCCATGAAGAAGCTGGTGCTTCTTCAGAGATGAAGTCAGAAACTTAACCACTAAGCTGTTCAAACCATGATTGATCTCCTGTAGGAGTGGGTTATGTATCTGAGTCGGTCATCAGTGGATAACCAATGTAGCTGTTCAGTCCTTGGCGCTCAGCAATGAATGAAGTATGTCGATCAAGTTTTACAATGTATCTCACCATCATTTTCTATAGACTGCCGGCAGACATTAAAAGTCTCCGTTAATTGCTTTCACTGCATTTAAAGATTACCATGTAAAGTAAAGAATAATCGAAAAGCTACGATATTTTAAAATAGTTTACTAACCAAGTTTAGTGATTACATGGCAAATCTGACCAACATACTTCGGTCTGCTCTGAGTACTTACAACTGGGAAGCTAAATCAGCCACCATCCGGCAAAATACTTCAGTCCCACAGAGAATCATTGCGACCAAGATTCTGTAGTGGTAAAGCCTTTAGCCTCAGGACTGAATGACGCACCAGAGAAATACCAGTTTTCTCATGGTTGCAGATATGCATTGCTGATAAGTGCTAGCAAGTACGAAACATAGATGGGGTAAGGCTTCATGCCAACTGACAGTGTCTTCTTTAAAAGAATGTTGAATAACTTATTGTCCTTTAAAAAAACTTTTCTTTCCTCTAAAATTCTTTTATAATAATGGTATGTAAAACAAAAAAACTGTTCCTCTCGTTTATAATATTAATCAATAAATAATTTTTCAAAAAATCTCAGACAGAATTTCTCTCCCCAAGGAATATATGTCCAATTAAGACGCAATAGTTCCCTAAGAGATTAAAGTAGGAGAGAACGGGCCTTATTTTCTCCGTCAATTCTACTATGAACTGTATACCACTGAGATAAATTTTTCGCCTACTTTTGCGATAAAAGATAGTCATCTGACACTAATCTGTCTTTTACAAAGTAATAAATTAATATCCGGCTCTCGATTATTCTTTTTTTCTTATACACTTATCCTATAACGGTTAGTTCTAATTAGATCTGAGTTCCTCTCACTCCTGTTCACCTGTAAGCCATCTTTCTCAAAGATCATAAGCAGTGGCATATCTGTCGGTGCACACACACGCACAAACTTAGCCACACATCTATAAACAAAATGTCTATAAAGAAACTAATTGGATCAGTTTTCTTCATACAGTTTACTTACACATTAAGGTGGGACAAGGCAAAACGGTCTGTGATGCAGTTGACGTTTATTTCTACAAAGGTATGTTAGTTAGTTTGTTAGGCAGTTGGAAATGAGAAACAAAAAGACAACTGCTGCCACCAACCCTACTATCTCTTCCTTCATCGAAAAATCTATCCGCAAATTCATTGATATAATCAACCAACTATTTTAAAATACAGTACTTTCAAGTATGTTTGGTTTTTACTCTCAGAAAATAACGATTTTTTTAATTTTCATCAGTCACTTTCATTATTTATCTTATTCAGATATTTATCTTAAAATTCTCCTCAGTCTGCTCTATGGAAAAATTCGTAAATCTAAGAGAGAGATAGCGCGCAGACTATGTCTAGAACGGATTTCTGATTTGTCAGTTAGGAAGCTGGAAGATATGTCGGCAGACGCATCACACTCTATAGAAATTGGTGTCAAAACGCATTTTAATGGAATCAAGGTTCTACCAAAAGGATTTAGTTCATAATTAAAAAACATCATAGACCAAATCCCTGAGTAGTTTGAAAAAACGAAATAGGGCACAGTCATCTGACTACTGGTAATTACTAATTAATTAGTAGAAACAGCGACCCTTGCATTCACTTTTCAGCCTCTTTCATCATCCCTATCTCTGCAAGAACAACAACACTCAATCTACATTGATCCATCATTATTACAATTACCAATATTACTGCAATTCATTCCAACTTTGTTCTAGCGACGCAACGAAAAACTTGTTAAAAATAATTCCCTCCCTACTTACCAGTAGAAATAACCCATAAATGCACCATAAATCCACTATGGTGCTCATACATAAATTACTGAATTATTACCATGTCACCTGTGACCTTTCTTATCTCACATTTGCAGTGACAGAGAATACAAAAGACTGAAGGGCCAGTAATCGCATTTTAGAAAAACACTGACTATACAAACAAGATATGACAAGGAAATTAGGACATGTTTTTTGAACTCTGTCGTATATCTTCGAAGCTATAATTTTGATTAATTCTCGTAAGCTTGGTCAAGATCTCTATAGGAAACCTTGCAACCATTTGTCCGAAATACTCTAAGACTTACAGAAATATGAACTATCTCTGATATACCTTGGGACGGATAGTTCATTAATTTTCAAAGCCGTATATCCATAAGCAGAAAGGAGAACCTCACCGATTCACTCTCTGCAAGAATACAAAGAATATATGCACGGAGGATACCATCGAAGGTGAACAAGAAAACTTGCAGGAAAGCTTGATGGAAAACGGATACCCACTGAAATTCATAGATGTGAATCAAAAACCGAAAAACGCCACGAAATGCGTGCCTACTGCTCAGAAAAGGATTTCACTGTTGAATCTCAAATTCAGGAGAGATTATGTGGTAGATATACCTAGAAAGGGACTATCAAGGTCCATAAACAGAACATTATTTTCCATCAATCTTAGAATCATATTCTACTATCAGAAACTCATTCGTCAGTGCATACAGGATAATCTGGAGCATTGGGCTACATAATTGTATGTGCATGAGTTTACTTGCTTCTGAAGCCGTACCATACACCGGCTCATGCAACGTGCTCATGAATACTCCACAATCTGGCTGGCAAGGAGAAAACGGAACTGTGTATCCAGCTCTATAATAAAACACTAAGTAAACTCAGGACGTTTAGCTTCTTCTGACAAATCCTTCAAAGCACTGTACCAAATGCAATCAAGCCGTTCGAAAGAAGTGAGCTTACGACTTTCAAGGAAAGCTGAAATATTAGAAGTTCAAAATTTTAAATCATCATTCTGCGTTCAAAAGAAGTGTGTGGCATCTCTTTCTTCGCTATATAAATTCACAATTTTTAATCGTTGATTCATCGTATTTTGCAAGGACTGCCCAGTCATGACTTCTCATCTCAATCAAAATCAAGCTGAAGTAGAGAGGGAGAGCACAATACTGATTATCAGTGTGACTACCCGTGATAACCATGGTTTAGCAGATAGCGTCAGCAGCTAGGTCTCATCACCCTGTTGATTAAAGAAGAGGGCCGTTGGTTTGAACACTGCCGCCACCTACATATTCCTCTTTGCTTCACTTTTATAACCCCAGTTATTTATTATGTATATTATTCTTTCTCACTTCGGTTCCTAATGGAACATAGGGCTTCAGTAGCACATCTCCAGTGCACTCTGTCCTCTGCAAACTTTTGAACCTGGTTCCATGACAGCCCACAAGCTCTCATTTCCTCCTCGCACGATCTCCCCCATGTCACCCTCAACTGGGACGCCCAACTCGTCTCACCCCATCTGGGTTCCACTCAAAGTCCAAACCTGGTGCGTGATGTTCCCAGTCGGCCTCCTCAGTGCATGCCCAATCCATCTCCACTTCCTTCTGCATATTTGTTGAGCAATAGGTTCTTGCTTCGTTGGTTCGTTCCCAGAGTGCGTTCCTTGTTGCTTACTCCTTCTGACCATCCATCTGAGCGTCAGTAACGAGCCAGCGTAGGCAGTTGTTGATGAATGTCTGTAGTTTGTTGGAAATCCCTTTCGTAAGACGCCAAGTCTCAGAACCATACAGGAGCACTGACTTGACTGAATTGGTATTGAAAATCCGGATGTTGTTCACGCTTTATGCTGAGCGCAGAAGATCTCCACACTGGTTTCAGGCTAATGAACGCCTGTCTTGCTTTTCCGATCCTGGCTGGCTTTGACGTCCTCGTCTGTGCCGCCTGTAGTTGAAACAGTGCTGACTAGGTGGGTGGGTGAAACAGGCTACTTCCTTCAATTTTTTCCCGTTGATGGTGATTGAAGCTTGTTGTTGTTGGTTGGGTATCTTCATCACCTCTGTCTTCTCTACGTTCACTTGAAGTCCCGTCTTCGCTGCCCTGCCTCTTCTATCGATTTGTTAGTTTTCGCCTGTAGATCTTCAAGTTTGTGCCACAAGACATTAGACACAAGTCATCACTGGCGAAATCCAAATCTTCTAGGTTCTTCTCCGCAGTCCAGCGTATCCCCTCTTCTCGCTCCTCACTGTTTGCTGCATGATCCAGTCCAGTCGACCAAAATCAGGAATATCATGGGTGATAGTAGGCAGCCTTGTTTTACTCCTGTCTTCACTTCAAAAGCATCACTGAGCTTCCCATTGTGAATTACTTGGCATGTGGCGTCTTCATATAGTTGTTGGATGAGATTGATAAAGGTGTGTGGTATTCCGCAGTGTTGAAGCAGCTGCCAAATTACTTCTTGGTCGACGCTGTCTAAGGCCTTTTCAAAGTCGATGAAGTTTGGGTAGAGAGTTGAGTTGACTGCCATTCTATACTCTGTTCTATGATAATGCGAAGCGTTGCAATTTGGTCCTCACGTGATTTGTACTCCCTGAATCCAGACAGCCTGTTCCGGTGGTAGTTTTGAATCCAGTGCATCCTTTAGTCTCTCCCAGATGATGCGGCCTAATATTTTGCTTGCCTTGGGTGGACAGGAGCGTGATTCCGCACCAGTTCTTGCAAACACTGAGGTCTCCCTTCTTCGGGAGTTTGACAAGGTAGTCCTCCTTACAATCAATTGGCAGGTACCTTCCCTTCCTTCCACACCTTCTGTAATAGTGGTGTGAGCATGTCCGCTGCTGTTGTCTCTGCATCCACTGTCAGTGCTTCTGGCGGAATTCCATCTGGTCCTGTTGCTTTCCCGCACTTCAGTATCTTTACAGTGTTCAGGACTTCTGCTTTTGTCGGAGGGCCTGAGTTAACTGATAGTTCTGCCGTTGATGATGGTATTTCTGGGCGAAGTGCAGGTGGTGGCGGTGGTCGATTCAAGAGCTTTCTCAAGTGGTCAGCCCATCGTTTCTTTTGTTTCTCTTCTTTGATAATTAAATTTCCTTCATCATCTTTCATTGGTTTCATCTGTGTTGATCTCTTCCCAGATCGATAGTAACCAGGTTATTTGATACAATGTTGTCAGGTCTCTCCTACCAGCCGGCAGCCTGTTCTGCTTCACTTGCCAGTGTGTCGTGGAAGTGCCTTTTGTCTTTCCGCGCACTCGTCCTCACTTCTTTGTCCACTGTAGTGTTTCATATATTGTACTCAGTTCCTCTTCTCGTCGTTCATCCTTGCACTGGTTTATCTTTTACTTCACCATCCTCCTCTCCTCTCCTCTCCTCTCCTCTCCTCTCCTCTCCTCTCCTCTCCTCTCCTCTCCTCTCCTCTCCTCTCCTCTCCTCTCCTCTCCTCTCCTCTCCTCTCCTCTCCTCTCCTCTCCTCTCCTCTCCTCTCCTCTCCTCTCCTCTCCTCTCCTCTCCTCTCCTCTCCTCTCCTCTCCTCTCCTCTCCTCTCCTCTCCTCTCCTCTCCTCTCCTCTCCTCTCCTCTCCTCTCCTCTCCTCTCCTCTCCTCTCCTCTCCTCTCCTCTATTAGCTTCCATGTGTCCATCGAGATCCATTCCTTATCTTCTTTCTGCTTGCTTCCTAACACGGCTATGCAGGTTTCTTTCCACATAGCTTCCAAAGAATTCTAGTGTTCATCCACACAGGTTTCTTCAGGGATGTTCCACGATATCTCGCACTTTGTCTTGATGGCTACCATGAAGATTTTCTTTGTAGTTTCGTCTTTCAGTTTCTGGGTGTTGAACTTGAACTGTGGTCTATCACCAGCTTCCTTGAAGGCTTTCAACTTGATTTGGAAGGTTCCTTGCACTAGATAGTGAGTGGTGTGAACCTATATCTGCTCCTCTTCTTGACCTTGTGTCAAGTAGGCTGCGTCTCCACTTTCTTCACATTGAGATGAAGTCGATCTGGCTTTTAGTTTAGTGTGTCCATCTGGTGAAATCGAATCCATGTCGCTTCGTGGATATCCTTGTGCTTGAACACACTACCTCCAATCATCAAATCGTTGAATGCACAACATTCTGCAAACAATTCTCCTTTCTCGTTCATTTCACAGAGTGCTTGCTTCTCTACCCATGGTTTGTTCTCTTCCTGTGTTGTCCGCTCCCAGTTTCGCATTCATGTCGCCCATCAGAATTTTGATGTCGCCAACTGGAGTGGGGTCTTGTCCAGTACTGATTGCAGTTGTCTGTAGAATTCCTCCTTCTTCTCTTCATCTGCATTATTTGTAGTTGCATAGTGTAGCACTGTACGATTGTGACTTTCCTTCCTTTTGAGTTGAACCTTGCTGTCATGATCCTGATGGTGGAGGAGATTGGTTCCCACTGCATGACAGCCTTCGATGCTCTTGAAGACATCATGATAGCCACTCCGAAACTCAGTGTGCTCGTGGTTGTCGTTTGGGTGACAATATCGGAGTAGGTTATTGACTGTCCAGTTGACAGTTTGGAGAGTCCACTTCCATTCCGTCTACTTTCGCGAATTCCTAACACTTCAATGTGATACCTTCTCATCTCCTTTGCAATCTGCACTGCCTTGCCAACTACGTTCAAGCATGGTGCGGACATTCCATGTCCCCACGTTTACTTTCGCTTTCATGGAGAGAAGCGAAGACACATCGGCCAATTGGCTTTCCGAAAGCTTTCACCAACTGGCGTTATTTTGCCTCTCCGATTTCGGGGAGTAATAATTTTGTTTTTTATGTTTTATAGTTTGTTTGTGCTTTGAGGTTTCTTTAGCAGTTGGATTTGTTTTACGGGGTAGGGTTTCTAGGCCTATGCCCAACCTTCCCTCTTTTTCCGGTCTAATGACCGGCAAGTAGCTAGTGGACTTTTTAACCAGGCGATGTTGAAACGAGATTAGTTAGGCTTCGAAACTTAAACATTGAACATTTGGGACGTGAATTGTAAGGTTGCTTTCTTATACGATTCTGTTCGGAACGCCTCTCTTGTCAGAGTTTCAGCGGTGCTATTTGAATTTTTGCCAAATGCTTCAGAGGATGATTTTGTGTTCTGTGGACAATAACAAACGAATACTTTGAAAGTGTGTCCGCTGTCAACGAAATGTCGTAAGATGGACATTCCAAGTGGTCAGCATACATCTTTAATGAAGCATGCTAGCATATTTTTGCGTTGACATAGTGTATGACCTGTATAACTATCTCCAAGTTAGTATTCACCAATGAGCCACTAAATAAGGTGATTTGCAGAATGAGTAAGTAGAATGGAATTTTGAAAGTTTTCATCAATTCGGGTATTGGGTATCATAAAGGTCAATCTCTTCTTCTCTACACCTAAAAGTGATGATGAGTAACTACTTGATTCAAATTTTTATCTTTTTTTTCGAAATATTTTTTTTGATGACGATATGAAGATAATCAGGTCCGTGCCAAAAGTGAATTTCGAAATTGGTTCATTTGGTTTTCAAAAATTAGCGAAGGAGCCTATGAAAGCCACAGAATAGTGTTATGACATCTGTTTTCGGTTTGGTATTCTTAGTATGTAGGAGTAAAATCTCTTTATCAGCTGAGCATATAACCGTTTAGTTTTACGCTCTTCAGTGATTTATTTATGATTCAAAGCCTTCTAGATCAAATGTAGGATATTCTTCAGGCTCACTGAATCTACTATAAGTCCCGAAAACAATTTACTTTGCCAGGTAGTGTTGTATTGTCTGTCTTTATCCAACTTTTAAAGCAGTTTATCAGACTTGGGCTATTTAAATGAATTCAAGGGAAAATAATCCATTTTTAGCATACGACAGACCTTTATTTTTGAAGATTTATCTTTAAATAAATGTCCGTTTTAAATGAAACAATTACATTCAGTACATAACTCTCTCTTCTCCTAAATTTCAGCCAGCTGGTGGTCGACTAAGATGTAGTAGTGTTGGGCTGATAAATTCTTTTGACTCTAAAACACATCATAAATACAATTTAGACTTAGGGAAGAAGTATGCCCGTTACTCGCATTGTCAAGATTCTGGTCCTGCAAGTGAGCGAGCAGTGTGGAAATCGCCTGGAGTCTCAAAGATCCATAAATGGCCTTGTGGTAAACCAACTACTTCATTATCAGCTCGAGCAGATTGTACAGGGATACCTTGGAGAACTGCTGCAAGAGCATCAAGATGTCAGTAAGTTACACAGGTAGTGACTTTAAGATTGGTGTTTCTGATTTTGCATTTCATCCCTCTGATGTCTGAAAGGTGAGAAATTAGGAACGTTATTGATTGATACTTGTGTTTTCTCGTTGTTTCACTGGCTAGAATCGGTTGACCACTGTTAACGTATAGGCTCTTATGCGGATGCCTAAAAATTCTGAGAACGTTAGAAACCGGTAGAACTGAAACGTGGTAAGCGTTATTATTATCATTGTATTAGAATCGACAATTTTTGCTGAGCTTGAGCCACGCGTTTATTGACTTTTAAACAACCAATCAGGAAAGAGTGAGTTACTTAGTGACTTTTAGCAAGTTAAAAATAAAGAATCTCCTGTTTTTCCTTTTATACATAAAAATAAGGTAATTTTTGCATTGAAAAATGGAAACTATAAGAATGTTTGCGAGTTATACCTATCATATTTATTGTAATTTAGCGGCTGGAATTCAAAAGATTAAAACTTGCCACAGGGGCCTACAAATTGGATTTAGAAACTAAGATTTAACTCTTGACGCTTTACTGATTAGGAATGATGTGACTGTGAATTTCTTTTCAAAACATTCGAAGCCAAGGCGACCAAGTGATGCGTTGTCAGTTGGATCACACCTCCGAATTATACGTAGAATACAATACACAATATTTGTCTAAGGTACGATACTGTGTTTGTCAGACAGTTTTGGTTTCAAATTCCTTCGGAAAAAATTTGCAATCACTCCACTTGATCATATTTTTGTATACGAAGGACTGCAGTGTTTGACTAATGCTTTGGTTATCGAATATGGATATTATCGGATAATGTATACGAAACGTATGTGCTAAAAATTAGGCCTTTCGAATTTCCCAGTTTAGCTATGGAATAGTTACCGGTCGATCAAAATAAGTGTATGGTGTCAAAGTTATCGAATGTGGCTATCCAGTTTAGTGACTGTTCAGTTCACTAGACATTGTGAGTCAGTAAATATCGGTCTACCCACTCGATTTCCAACATGTAACAGACATACCCTATTGGCAGTATATTTTCAGAACTCGGTGCCATTTTTCTAATTAATGAGCTTATTTCAAGTATTCCACTCACAACAATTTGGGATGATTGTGAATCGATGTTATCGGTTATACTGCACTCTGAAATGGGAGATTAGCAAGGGATAAACCAAACAAACGATTGGCAGCAGTTAGAAAAGGAATATAAAATGAGAAAGATAGAAAATTAAGCAATACTTATGAACCAACAAGTATTCAACCTTGAGTATACAGTTATGTGAAGACTTGTACCAACTATACTTTCAGGTCGGAAGCCCCATCATGGATTAGGAATACAAACTGTTTTGAAGTCTTGAATTATAACCAGACAATCGGTTCTTGTTCTTTCAGTATTACGATTATCATCACCAAAAGCACCTTATAGTCAGTGTAACAGCAATAATGTAAACGGTAAAGGTATGTCGAAATTACGATAGTCAAAATTTTCAGAGACGCGCAGACTCACATAACAAGTTAAAACATATAAAACTAACAAGTGTTCAAGGGAATATATAACATCAGAGAAGTAACTGAAAGGAGCGCAATATAATTATGAAGTAGGAAAGGTAACAATATCCTATGATCTTAGAGTGATGAATGAACTATATTCATAGTGGAGCTGGACAATAACACCTGTGAATAAAGTAACTTTGTGAAAGAATATGAATCATGTTACTCATTAATCGTAAGTAGCACGCATCTGTATTCGCAGAAAGGCAAACATTTAAATCGAGGTAGAAAGTTAAGACGCAGTAATGATAGAATTAACAGTCACGAAACAGGAAAAAGCCAGACTGAACTTTCTTCTTCCACTGCGGACATTGAGAATTTATTTTGGGGACTTTAAGCCATTCAAAATCGAATGTTAGGGCCTAGAGAGTTTAGTACTGCTTTCTGACTCTACCATTGCTATTGTTATTACTGTTGTTTTGGTACTTGCTAGTTGTCTAGCACAGAATGACCGTTTTAATCACTAACAGATAACCAATGTTTCAAAACCTAATCGCCAGTGCCCATAGAAATCAGTTAATTTAGTTTGAAATGACCACTCAGTTAAATGAATTTATATTGAAGGATGTAAATTGGTCACTAATACAGTTGTCATTTTGAAGTGTTGTCTAGACACCAGAAATAAGTGGTCTGTCAGTTTTGTTCAGTTGAATTTTACCTGCTGGTCACTTTCGTATCGAAGTTCCTATTGTTGGAACCAGGGTCACATTCCCAGACTATACGATATGAAATTGGTTAGTGTCTGAAGACAGGTGAGTCTATCTGAGACGTAATCTGAAGCTAAAACATTTTGGCACTGACAGTATTTACATGCATTAGAAGGCTAACTAGATGAATATAGATTTACATTAATACTAAGAGTAAAATCACATAGACTTTTATGTACTTCTTTTTACTAAATCTTTAATCATAATAAATTTTTATGAAATGTCAGCGGAATACAGATTCCTGAAAACTACCTCCAGAGCTCGTATAACGAATGGAATAGTAAGTAGAATGAAATTTTATCACTTGAAGTAGTTTTCGGTCAACGGATGCTCACGAACATTAAGTACTTAAACAATGAAACTGATTACCAAAAGGATCGTATATCATCTCTTCATAGTCAATGTAAAACAAGGCATTAATATAAGAGTAAGCCTTGGGCGCCGTGATAGATTCTATTTTAATTTTAGTTTATTTATTAGGAGCATCATATGGTGTTACAGTATTATTTGCTTGGGTTTTACGCCTTCAACACAATTTATTGTCTTTAGACATATTGAGGTAAGTTCATAACTTTGAAATATGGTTTTAAAGTGGACTTAAAAAATTTCTAAGAGAAAGAGCGAAAAGCCTCCATAAGCAAAAAATAAAACCGGAAACAAGAAGTTGGACAGATTACGGGGATTCTTTGACTCAATAATTACCCACGAAAATTTATAAATAAATTCATTCGAAATTACAAGTTAGTATTCATCACCGACTGACATCAGCTGGATAACTAGCGAATACTTGGGAGGACTGGATAGTTGTTTCGTACTAGTAGGGGACTCCTAAAACGTACGCCATCACGACGCCACCCACCAGGTATTGTACCAGAGGCCTCCAGGTTCCGAGATTAGCACTTTGCTAATAAATTACTGAGTCAGAATTCACTAGTCGACACTTCCCAATTTTTGTCAGTTCGTGGTATAGCATGACTTTCTTCCAGCGCACCCTTTGAGTACCGGTTCTCATCCTTCGACTTAGTTTGACTTACCAGTCACAACTAGTCATTGGAACCTCGGGAAATGTTGAATACCAACTTGAAGTCACTAAGTCCCCACAAATCTTCAAAATGGAAGCGAAAATTTTAGGAGAAAATGAGCAGTAATGGTGACAGTTATTAATAATAGTAATGATAATAATAATAATAACCGTAAGGTTGTAAAAGGAGAACTCAAGAACTTAACGGTGTTACAAAAAAAGAAAGGCCCCCAAAAAATGTTACTGTGAATGATCAGAAAGGTTTAGAACACAATAGCATTTAAACCTGAAAAATCACTCAAAAGCAAGCTTTGTAAGTGAAAAGATTTTAGTTTAGCGAGTCCCTTATAATGATTACAATGTAAGTACATAGATCAAAGTAGTCAACTATGATTATTTAGAATAACAGAGCACAAACACTTAGCTAAATCAAGATCTATTGTAGCTGACAAGATAAGAAATGTAGATGAAAACTTGGCTATAGTTGAGCATGCAAAAACACACAATCACACAATATGTTGGGACATAGTGACAGTCTTAAATACTTAGTTAGTTAGGTGGGGTAAGAGACTGATAACTGAAACTTTGTCGGCTGTAATCGGCACCAAATATCTATGAACCTCAGTAGGCGCTCTGCGTGCACGAAAATTTCTACCACCCAAATCACAAAGAAGGAGAGAGAACTAGAATTTTATAAATCCAGTCTCAAAGTTATCGAGTTACATTGAAATGAATATGAACAGCAAGTTGTGTCCGAAGTGTTATCTAATCAACAATACAGTTTAACCGTGTGGTACATCTAATAGTCAAAGTGACACAGACACACTTAGAACTCATTCTGATCTAAGACAAACTGTCATGTCTCTTCCAACTTTCGTCTTATGAACTTTGAAGATGTTTGCCTTCTTTTTTTGGAGATTTCCACCTTGATGTGTTGTGATAGGAAGTGTAACCACATTGTTCATTATACCTTTGGTACTTAGTGATGATTGAAGGTGATCTACAAGTTTGAATTCTACCGCTGCCTAGATTTTCATTCCACCTTCAGTCATCACCCAGTATATTTACAAGTCTGCAAACCACGGCTATCTTAGATAGTCAAAATGATACACATTATACCCTTGCCCTAAGTCATCTACCTGCTTATAGATTTACGATTTGTAATAATCATTCGTTTACGCCATAATTCATCAATCCTCATTATTGTTATTATTACCTCTACTTTCTCTTGCTGAATTAATAGTGGTCATCCAAATTACCGTTGTCCCGGGAAAACATGTCTCGAATCACGCGCACTACACCTGGACTATGATCTCGTTCTTAAATACGCAACAAATAAGTCAGCATTAAATGTAAAGAAGAATGATGGAAAGTCTGTAATTTATCCACCAACAAGAATTTTGAATGCTTCCAATATTGACGGTTGTTTTTGCCAGCAACAACAAGGTTTTCAATATAGTCAACTGAGCTCAAAAAAGAAGTCTCAAATGAAGACTAGTTCAGCCACCAATTCTTCTAGGTCATCAAATCTGACTGTTCAGCAGAAGCTAAAACAGTTGATGGTAGGTACTCACACAGTTTCTAGTTTATCAACCCTTTTGTACACATACGTTAAACATTGAAGAACGTTTCAGTAGTTTGTGAATACCTTTCAAACTATTATTTAAAAATCAGCACATAACGGATGCGTATTTAAGATTATCGTGAGAGGCTTCATCAATATTCAGGTACTTGAGATAGATAAATATCTCTAGACAATGATGGTTTTAGTGTATGCACATTGCGCAGAGACAGAGAAATATTTGTGCATCAGCTGCACATTGGTGACCAGCTGGAGTATGCCTTTCAGTCCTGTATAGCGAAAGCCATGGTAAAGACTCTGGGACTTCAGCTCTGAGTGAAGTAGGGTTGAATCGCCGAGGAAATGCCAACCTCATTATGGGTGCAGACATACCCTACTGATGTGTGCCAATAAGCGATGAATCTAGGGGCGTGACTTGTTGACAGTCGTCTCCGTACGTCTTACATCACAATGAAACATACCACTAGGTTTGTGCTGATAGAAGCTGAAAATTGAAACTATACAGAATGATCTATTTGTTCAAATGTATGTGGGTTTTCTCAGTTGAATATTGCCAATAAAATTACTAGAATTCAAGATTTGATGAGTTAACATATTCTTTCAGTAGTGTGACTACTCACCGCAACAAACTCCAATTTTCTGTCAAAACGGAACTCATATTCCACAGTAAATAGAATGCAGAAAAAAATTCACTTTCTAGTTGAAATCTAAACTTAATATTGATTTGCAGCTTGAGTGGTTTTTAAATACCCTTTTTCATTTTTAATCCACAAGTAAATTTTTTTTAAAGTAAGGACTCATACGATACCCTTTTGACATCGAGAGAGAAAGATAAGACAATATGCAGAGTGTCTTGGCTCAGTGTATCAGGGACAAGGAACTCTTCATAAATATAATCCTAGGTTACAATGACTGGATGCTGGAGAACAACAAGATTCATGTTTTCTAGTCCTGAGTGCTGACCGAATCCTGTCGATCATTTCGGAACTAAGAAGACTCACCACCATGGTGCCCTTTAACAGACCTGACTTGTCTGAAGACAATCAACAAATAAGCCTGACAGGTCTAAGTTTCGTGAATGTTACCACCTATCGGGATGCGTTCCTGCAACTTTGAATGGATTTATGTCCCTTGTGAGATTCGAAACTGCACAGTATTTCAATTAGAGATTGTACCTTTGAAATAGTGGTATATATTTGTAGCTCAGATGGATGGTCTTAGGGGTATTGTGTTCTCTGAGCTGGGTTGTTTACTCATAAAGCTTTCATCGTATTTCTAAACGAAATCATCAGCGCTAACTTCAGTGTGAAGTGAGCTGTCGAAATCTCTGTGAGTGATTTAGTAGCTTGCCTTGGCGAAGTGGTCTGTGGTTGTTTGCCGTGTTTCTTTTTGAGTGATCTCATTTAATCCTCATATTTTAAGTGACGATTCTAATGCCGCAAAGGATTCTGCATTCGAGGCATCACTTGTGTTGTAATTCAATTAAATTCAACCCAATCAACCACTGACCACGCAGAATAGACATCACGCTCAAATGAACACTCAAGAACAGAAAGCATTAAAAAGGATGAAAAAAAGGAAAGATATCGTTATACTTCCAGGAGACAAAGGACGTACTACAGTAGTCATGGACAAAGAAGACTATATCAAGAAAGCAGAAAAATTACTCAAAGACGAAAATGTATATCAACCACTTGAAACCAACCCTATCTAGAAGTTCGACAACCAGATCAATAAAACGAACAAACTCTTCAAAGCAGAAGAAATAACAAAGCAAGACAAATGGAGAATGAAATCGAATGGACCTGTCGTTCCTCGGTTCTACGACAGACCAAAACTACACAAACTAGATATCCCTCTACGACCAACAGTCTTACTTCCGGGGACTCCAACACACAACATGTCAAGAGAACTTTCGAGAAAACTGAAACACCTCTTTCAGTCATGTGGACACTCCATCAAGTCACCAACAGGATTCTTAGAAAAGATCAAATCATTAACATAGAAAACGACGAATTAATGGTATCCTTCGATGTCACGGCACTATATACATCCATCGAACCGCAACTGGCTAAGGAAACTATAACTATACTGCTCAATGAAGATACAAACCTTTCAGAACGCACAAAACTTGTGTTCAAGTCTAATGGAACTCATCGACCTTTGTCCAACAACATACTTCCAACTCAACGGTAAGATATACAAACAGATGAAAGGAACTCCAATGGGATCACCAATATCCAGAGTAATTGGAGAAGCAGTGGTGCAGAGACTGGAAGCCATTATTCTACCTGTGATCAAACCAAAATTTCGGATTCGCTATGTGGACGACACTTTTGTCGTCATTAAAAAGGTGATATAGAAAACACTCACAGTTTGATCGACGACGTTCTCAGTGACATCAAATTCACAGAGGAGAAGAAGTCAAACAACCAACTACCATTCCTGGATGTTATGGTCAATAGAAAAAATACGGAGAAGCTGGAAACCCAAGCGTACAGGAAACCAACACACACTGACCAAGTCTTTAACTACAGTAGCAACAACCCACAAGATCAGTTGCATGCAGACTCTACTCAAAAGAGCGAGAACACACTACAGTACAACAACTTCATGCAGAAACAAAGAAAATTACTTGATGTCCATCCTAAAGAAGAACGGCTACCCACGAAACTTTATCAGATGCCTATCCTGAAAATCATCAACTACAAAGTCATCGACAGAAGTCAATAAACGCATCATCCTACCATACATAAAGAATATATCAGAAATCACGACAAGATCACTGAGACCATTTGGAATTGGTGTGGCTCATAAACTAACAAATTCCCTCCAAACACTATTATACAGACCAAAGGATGCAACAATCAAAGAAAAAAGCAGAATATCATTTACAAAATCAGCCTCAGCAACTGTAGTCAACACTACATTGGACAAAGTGGTCGCCCCACCTTCCCCTTCATCTACATGAACACCGATTGGCTATTAAACTTCACGACATTTCATCACTTATTTCAATGCATGTGCATAATTATGGACATGAATGCAATTTCGACAATGTAGAAATTTTGGACAGAGGAAATACGAAGAATATCAGAGAATTCCTAGAAGTCTTGGCATTCAGGTCGGTCGGCAGTCAATAGATGTATACACAGACCCAATCTATCAATTAATAAGAAAGATGGTAAGCGACAAAAAGGTCAGAGGTCGAGCAGAGGAACAGCCAACAGGAAAATCTCTACAATCAATGACACAACAATCAAAGGAAACAACCAATCACAAACCACTTCGTCAGGGCAAGCTACTAAATCACTCACAGAGAGATTTCGACAGCTCACTTCACAATGAAGTTAGTGCTGATAATTTCGTTAGAAATACAATGAAAGCTTTATGAGTAAACAACCCACCTTGTAGAACATACATAATACAACCAAAGCCTCAGCTTTGATCTTCGTGGACCATGATCGACCCACCCTACGACTGCATTAGGTATACTGACTTGTCACTCATCCACTCAATCACCTTCTTTGTTAAGCGAATCAAGCTTAACTACTTCATGATTCCCTTATTAGTGGGCAGTCTGGCGAAGAAAATCAGGCTTAGAATATTAACATATGACCCGGTATTACTTACGGCATAACGACTCCATTTGTCGTACCGCATATCAAGATACCGAGATACCAAGGCACCAAGATTACAGCTGGAATAAAAAGGACAAAAGCAGTCAAGAGTGTTAGAAAGTCGGGATAATGAACAAAGAAAGATGAGAAAATGATGAAAATCAGTACTAAAATGAAGATCAGTTTTAAGACGTATCACCTGGAGTGTTTAGGTACCGATTTCCTTTATCACGGTGACCGCAACTTGGAAACCTACATTTTACTGCGCAATTAAGATCACGTTTTAAGGACTTCATGGAGCGTTGCCACGTTTTATTCTGTCCACCTCTAACCTCTTTCCAGCCTAGACGTAATTACCGCAACACTATGCAGCAAGATAGACGGTAACTTGGCGAGCGTAATTCATGTCTCAACCAGCTGAGTTAATAAGGGTTAACAACCCCTCCAACTGACACGTTTTCTCTACACAAATCTTCATGCCTGACTTCTACATTATTGATGCTTCTGCACCGCTACACACGGCGTAGACTACGAACGCAATGTTGGTCGGACAAGTTAAGCTTTCTCATGTTCCTTGTCTTTAATGGTCATGTTTCACAGTCACACATAATAACAGAGGGGACCACAATGCAGTACATTTGGTTCTTAGTAGGGATTCACATATCACAAGGGTGCATTAATGGCTTAAATTAACAAAGACGCTGCGAGTCTTTTGTATCATGTGGAAGTTTCTTCCATCACTGATCCACCATGGCTTTTATGATTTTCCAGGTAAGAGACGTATTAAATGTCTATGATCAGACAAGGTACTAACAGAGACCTAACCGATAGTTGCTACCTTGACGGGATGGTCAACCTTGTATGTCACAATGATCCAACAAGCTGTGCTGGTGGAACGCTTGTTCTCTCAAGGTCCTACCATACCAGAAAGGTTTATTGGATAATGGATAGAGAAAAGGCAATTACCATCATAGTGCAAATTGCTACGCTATGATGGGGGTATGAGGACAAAGTCGTACTGCTGATTGAACGGGGTTGTGAAAGCATCAAGGTGTTTCCCTTGCATGACCAGCAGTGTCACGCTGATACCACCTGCCTTATAGGAAATGATGTTAGAAAAGGTCATCCCTGAAAATGACACACTCTCACCCCCTCACGGTTTGTCAGTGCTTACAACAGGGACTTATAATTGTATTCGAAAGCAAATAAAACGAAATTATAAACTCGCCAAAATGCCGTGTATGACCGACATCAAGGAGACACCCCTTGGGCTCTGTGGTCACACGCTATCCCTTCTCTTTCAGGCACTTCAAAAAGCTATCCTTTCATGGTGCTGTTAATTGGGAAGGGTCACCCGCATGCATGCTTCCAGTAGTACACAAGATCCAATCAAACAGGACCTGATCAATCCTACAGCAACAATTTAAATTCGAGCAGCAGCCGAATAAGGCAACTATTTATGGGGATACCTAGACTTTTCGTGCATACGATGAATACAAATTAATCTTATACAGATCAATTCGGTTTACAAAGCACAGTATTCCTTGAAACCAAAATGTCATATCATGAGTGTCTGTGTACCATTCTCTCTGTAGGAAACTAGAGGACCAAGGTATACTGAACAGATTTAGTGAGTTCTACGTTTTGACAACAAAAGTATTGATTATGCCATCTGAAGTGGCTTTGATTTAGCAAAATTATATCAATGCATGAGCATAATGAGCGACCGTCTAATTCAAAAAACACTTTCGTTGAAGCAGCATACTAATCTACTTGGCATCTGACTGGGTCTTTGTTGCTCAGTTATCAAAATATCCGTTCAATAATTTCGCAAACACTCTGTCAAAATAATTCATAATTGAAAATCTTCATGTTCATATTTCTTAATTTTTTAGATGAAGGTATCACAACTTGAAAAGGATCTTCAAGCTGAAAAGTGCAAATCCGGTCTGTTGATGAAGATTCAAAAAGTATGTATTTCACATCTTCACTATATTCATCAAATTAAATCAACGACTATTAAGACAATCAGTTTTTTTTAGTCTCACTATCTGGCATTGCCGTAGTTCAGTTTATTGATACTATATTATATTTCAAAGTGAAAACGAAATATTAGGCTTAGGCAGGATTCACCCCTTGATTATGCTTCAGTCACCAAGAGTTTTCCCTGACCGCTATATGAATTCACAATTTTTAATCGTTGATTCATCGTATTTTGCAAGGACTGCCCAGTCATGACTTCTCATCTCAATCAAAATCAAGCTGAAGTAGAGAGGGAGAGCACAATACTGATTATCAGTGTGACTACCCGTGATAACCATGGTTTAGCAGATAGCGTCAGCAGCTAGGTCTCATCACCCTGTTGATTAAAGAAGAGGGCCGTTGGTTTGAACACTGCCGCCACCTACATATTCCTCTTTGCTTCACTTTTATAACCCCAGTTATTTATTATGTATATTATTCTTTCTCACTTCGGTTCCTAATGGAACATAGGGCTTCAGTAGCACATCTCCAGTGCACTCTGTCCTCTGCAAACTTTTGAACCTGGTTCCATGACAGCCCACAAGCTCTCATTTCCTCCTCGCACGATCTCCCCCATGTCACCCTCAACTGGGACGCCCAACTCGTCTCACCCATCTGGGTTCCACTCAAAGTCCAAGCCTGGTGCGTGATGTTCCCAGTCGGCCTCCTCAGGGCATGCCCAATCCATCTCCACTTCCTTCTGCATATTTGTTGAGCAATAGGTTCTTGCTTCGTTGGTTCGTTCCCAGAGTGCGTTCCTTGTTGCTTACTCCTTCTGACCATCCATCTGAGCGTCAGTAACGAGCCAGCGTAGGCAGTTGTTGATGAATGTCTGTAGTTTGTTGGAAATCCCTTTCGTAAGGTGCCAAGTCTCAGAACCATACAGGAGCACTGACTTGACTGAATTGGTGTTGAAAATCCGGATGTTGTTCACGCTTTATGCTGAGCGCAGAAGATCTCCACACTGGTTTCAGGCTAATGAACGCCTGTCTTGCTTTTCCGATCCTGGCTGGCTTTGACGTCCTCGTCTGTGCCGCCTGTAGTTGAAACAGTGCTGACTAGGTGGGTGGGTGAAACAGGCTACTTCCTTCAATTTTTTCCCGTTGATGGTGATTGAAGCTTGTTGTTGTTGGTTGGGTATCTTCATCACCTCTGTCTTCTCTACGTTCACTTGAAGTCCCGTCTTCGCTGCCCTGCCTCTTCTATCGATTTGTTAGTTTTCGCCTGTAGATCTTCAAGTTTGTGCCACAAGACATTAGACACAAGTCATCACTGGCGAAATCCAAATCTTCTAGGTTCTTCTCCGCAGTCCAGCGTATCCCCTCTTCTCGCTCCTCACTGTTTGCTGCATGATCCAGTCCAGTCGACCGAAATCAGGAATATCATGGGTGATAGTAGGCAGCCTTGTTTTACTCCTGTCTTCACTTCAAAAGCATCACTGAGCTTCCCATTGTGAATTACTTGGCATGTGGCGTCTTCATATAGTTGTTGGATGAGATTGATAAAGGTGTGTGGTATTCCGCAGTGTTGAAGCAGCTGCCAAATTACTTCTTGGTCGACGCTGTCTAAGGCCTTTTCAAAGTCGATGAAGTTTGGGTAGAGAGTTGAGTTGACTGCCATTCTATACTCTGTTCTATGATAATGCGAAGCGTTGCAATTTGGTCCTCACGTGATTTGTACTCCCTGAATCCAGACAGCCTGTTCCGGTGGTAGTTTTGAATCCAGTGCATCCTTTAGTCTCTCCCAGATGATGCGGCCTAATATTTTGCTTGCCTTGGGTGGACAGGAGCGTGATTCCGCACCAGTTCTTGCAAACACTGAGGTCTCCCTTCTTCGGGAGTTTGACAAGGTAGTCCTCCTTACAATCAATTGGCAGGTACCTTCCCTTCCTTCCACACCTTCTGTAATAGTGGTGTGAGCATGTCCGCTGCTGTTGTCTCTGCATCCACTGTCAGTGCTTCTGGCGGAATTCCATCTGGTCCTGTTGCTTTCCCGCACTTCAGTATCTTTATAGTGTTCAGGACTTCTGCTTTTGTCGGAGGGCCTGAGTTAACTGATAGTTCTGCCGTTGATGATGGTATTTCTGGGCGAAGTGCAGGTGGTGGCGGTGGTCGATTCAAGAGCTTTCTCAAGTGGTCAGCCCATCGTTTCTTTTGTTTCTCTTCTTTGATAATTAAATTTCCTTCATCATCTTTCATTGGTTTCATCTGTGTTGATCTCTTCCCAGATCGATAGTAACCAGGTTATTTGATACAATGTTGTCAGGTCTCTCCTACCAGCCGGCAGCCTGTTCTGCTTCACTTGCCAGTGTGTCGTGGAAGTGCCTTTTGTCTTTCCGCGCACTCGTCCTCACTTCTTTGTCCACTGTAGTGTTTCATACATTGTACTCAGTTCCTCTTCTCGTCGTTCATCCTTGCACTGGTTTATCTTTTACTTCACCATCCTCCTCTCCTCTCCTCTCCTCTCCTCTCCTCTCCTCTATTAGCTTCCATGTGTCCATCGAGATCCATTCCTTATCTTCTTTCTTATCCCTTCATAACACGGTTATGCAGGTTTCTTTCCACATAGCTTCCAAAGAATTCTAGTGTTCATCCACACAGGTTTCTTCAGGGATGTTCCACGATATCTCGCACTTTGTCTTGATGGCTACCATGAAGATTTTCTTTGTAGTTTCGTCTTTCAGTTTCTGGGTGTTGAACTTGAACTGTGGTCTATCACCAGCTTCCTTGAAGGCTTTCAACTTGATTTGGAAGGTTCCTTGCACTAGATAGTGAGTGGTGTGAACCTATATCTGCTCCTCTTCTTGACCTTGTGTCAAGTAGGCTGCGTCTCCACTTTCTTCACATTGAGATGAAGTCGATCTGGCTTTTAGTTTAGTGTGTCCATCTGGTGAAATCGAATCCATGTCGCTTCGTGGATATCCTTGTGCTTGAACACACTACCTCCAATCATCAAATCGTTGAATGCACAACATTCTGCAAACAATTCTCCTTTCTCGTTCATTTCACAGAGTGCTTGCTTCTCTACCCATGGTTTGTTCTCTTCCTGTGTTGTCCGCTCCCAGTTTCGCATTCATGTCGCCCATCAGAATTTTGATGTCGCCAACTGGAGTGGGGTCTTGTCCAGTACTGATTGCAGTTGTCTGTAGAATTCCTCCTTCTTCTCTTCATCTGCATTATTTGTAGTTGCATAGTGTAGCACTGTACGATTGTGACTTTCCTTCCTTTTGAGTTGAACCTTGCTGTCATGATCCTGATGGTGGAGGAGATTGGTTCCCACTGCATGACAGCCTTCGATGCTCTTGAGGACATCATGACAGCCACTCCGAAACTCAGTGTGCTCGTGGTTGTCGTTTGGGTGACAATATCGGAGTAGGTTATTGACTGTCCAGTTGACAGTTTGGAGAGTCCACTTCCATTCCGTCTGCTTTCGCGAATTCCTAACACTTCAATGTGATACCTTCTCATCTCCTTTGCAATCTGCACTGCCTTGCCAACTACGTTCAAGCATGGTGCGGACATTCCATGTCCCCACGTTTACTTTCGCTTTCATGGAGAGAAGCGAAGACACATCGGCCAATTGGCTTTCCGAAAGCTTTCACCAACTGGGTTATTTTGCCTCTCCGATTTCGGGGAGTAATAATTTTGTTTTTATGTTTTATAGTTTGTTTGTGCTTTGAGGTTTCTTTAGCAGTTAGATTTGTTTCACGGGGCAGGGTTTCTAGCCCTATGCCTAGCCTTCCCTCTTTATCCAGTCTTAGGACCTGCCAGTAACTAGTGAACGGGTTGACGAGGCGAAGTGACGTTAAATATGTGTTGAAGAAAAGCGATAGGTTTCTCTTGCTTCTTCTTTGATGAAAACGAGTATCGATGACGAAATTTAAATAGTGTGTGATGAAAATGGGAAACAAAGTTACATGCGACCCTTGAATGTTAATTAGGATGCACATGAATGACATATAGGTTAGAAAATGAGATAACTAATTTCTTTGAAAAAAAACAAGAGACTAGGTGTTGTACACGATACGAGTTAACCGAGATGTGATGAAAATGTGTTTTTGTAAGAACTTGTAATTATTAGAAACATACAGTGAAGTAGTAACTACCCTAGTTTACTAGTCCATTGATTTGATACACGATCCTCAGCCAGGATAAAGAGATAAAGTTGAGCCTGACGCTAGCAAATCTAACCCCAGCAAAAGCAATCTAATCACTAACGAAACTTCAAAGCACAAAAGAAACATCGAAAATAAACTAACAGCTAGCCAGAATCAAGGAGACGAGATGGCGCTATTCGCAGAAAGCTTTCGGGAAGCCAATTGGCCGATGTGTCTTCGCTTCTCTCCATGAAAGCGAAAGTAAACGTGGGGACATGGAATGTCCGCACCATGCTTGAACGTAGTTGGCAAGGCAGTGCAGATTGCAAAGGAGATGAGAAGGTATCACATTGAAGTGTTAGGAATTCGCGAAAGCAGACGGAATGGAAGTGGACTCTCCAAACTGTCAACTGGACAGTCAATAACCTACTCCGATATTGTCACCCAAACGACAACCACGAGCACACTGAGTTTCGGAGTGGCTATCATGATGTCCTCAAGAGCATCGAAGGCTGTCATGCAGTGGGAACCAATCTCCTCCACCATCAGGATCATGACAGCAAGGTTCAACTCAAAAGGAAGGAAAGTCACAATCGTACAGTGCTACACTATGCAACTACAAATAATGCAGATGAAGAGAAGAAGGAGGAATTCTACAGACAACTGCAATCAGTACTGGACAAGACCCCACTCCAGTTGGCGACATCAAAATTCTGATGGGCGACATGAATGCGAAACTGGGAGCGGACAACACAGGAAGAGAACAAACCATGGGTAGAGAAGCAAGCACTCTGTGAAATGAACGAGAAAGGAGAATTGTTTGCAGAATGTTGTGCATTCAACGATTTGATG